GGTAACGATTTAATATACAATAGTCTGCTCGTCATTTTATGGTAACGATTTAATATACAATAGTCTGCTCGTCATTTTATGGTAACGATTTAATAAACAATGGATGTGCCATCACTGGCCCATTATTCCTGAAACAAAGACTTGTTCATTCCGGTCAACAATAATCTTATGACGTCAATTGGTCTCCATGGTAACCCGAAACAATACCTACCCGTCGCTTTATGCTAATATTTGATGAATAATTAATGTGCCCACCACTAGCCCACCGCTAGCTCACCACTAGCCCACCCCAAAAAGGGGTCGTGCCATCCCTACACTACTACTGTTATGAAAATATGGGGCTGTTTTTTTGAGCTTTCCAGTCTTTTTATGCGGCCTTTTTTTATGCAGTAGTCTGGTAACTATGCGGCTTAGTCCCTCCAAAAAATGTTGGGTTGTGAGAGAGATTTTCCTCTAATTTTTTTGTGAAAGGAGGAGTGTCCCGACAGGGCATTGCCATGGCTAGTTCCGGGCAGGGACAGACTTGAAGTGCTAAGACCGGCTTTATCTTGGAAGCTTGTTCTGTAAGTAATAAGAAAAAGCAGACGTTATACTTATATGATAATACAATAATTGACTGGTAACTTATGGAAAATATTTCAACAGGACCAATAATTTTAACGGCTCATGAACAGACACGATTGCCAGGATTCATATCGAGCGGTAGGACTGGGGAGACCAGACAACTGTTGACCAGGCCGAATAAAATGAATATTATCAATATATGTAGTTAGAATACCCAACCATTGAGCAATATTATTACAATAGAGATTTCCGATTTAGCGGATTAGCGACAGTATATTCCACGCTCATTAATCCACCCGGAATATAGCCTGAGTATCAGGTCTTCCGAGGGGGAGGGGGAGAGAAGGGAAGGAAGCCGGCTCTCTCTTTCCCCTCTCCCGGAGAGCCTGATACTCATGCTACCCAGAATATAGGTTAACTCAGTAAATGTTTTGTTTTCTATTGCTTAACGAGCACTATTTTTTTACTTAATATTCTGAACTGGTACTGTTTTATATGACCTTTTTGAACTAAAATATGGTTTGTTGATATGAGTACACAATCAGTCTATACTCAACAAACAAATAAACAA